ATTTCACATAATACAAGATGATAACATCGAGAATTAAGAGAGAGGGAATGAACAGAAAGATTTAGGCAATAGGATAAACACCATTCAATGACCTCTCAAAAGTGGAAAATTATCAAGAGGTACAACTAAATCTTGGGTCTTTAATTTATGGTACCAGATAGATGGTAGGGACATTCCCAATATTAGAAATAGTAGGGAAGAGAAAAAATCTGGAGAAAAAGATAGCAAGTTCAGTTTTGAACTGAATTGTTATACTTAAGGAGGCTGTAAACATCCACAAGATGTCCAATGCACAGCTGGAAATAATGGTGTGGAGCTCAGAGACTGAGATCTGAGGGTGAAGATCTATCTCAGAAAATATTACCTTATTAAATGCCACCTGAAACCAGGGTGCAGGATGGGATCAGCAAGGAAGAATATATATCATGAAATAACAATCATGGACCAAATCTTTATATCATACCTGAAATCTTATTCAAAGAGACACAAAACTGTCTAAAAGTCCTCTAAAGACATACTATGTATATCTGAATTTGTAATTACCTTTCCCTGTTCTCCTCTGTTCTTACAAATAATGGAAAGTCATTGCCAAGTGACTCTATTAATCAACAACCATATATTGGTTTTAACTATGTGTCAACGGACAAAATTAACTAGTATTCATTCTTACATAAATCTGATATATTAATCTAAGATGTACTCTCAAATTAAACCAACAATTATTTTATTGCACGTATGCTATGTGTAAGAACAAAATTCTAGCGCTCAATTTAATAAAAACTAAAAACTCAACAGATGTTGATTCTCTTTGCTTCCTCCAAGTGATATCAGGAGAGATAAGAGTCCCAAAGCTTTTCTGTCTCTTACAGTGTGAGGGAGGAAGTGTACATCAGAGGAAGTCCATGTTCTTACATTCTAACCGCCCTTTCTATTTCCAGTTTCTGTCACTCCTGAGAAATTATGAGTTATTTATGTTTCTCTGGGCCTCAGTTTTCCTGTCTTCCAAACAAGGGCATAATATCCACCTTATAAGACTATTATGAAGATTGGCAATAAACATGTATAAAGTCTGCCACTTAGGTTCTCATAAGAGTATAGAATATGTTTTTCAACATTCTTATAATTTTACAAGTCAATGAGAGAAACAAGGAGGAGGAAGCTGGTTAAACATGTCACAACTATGTATTTGTTTTGCTGTTTAAACACAAGCACTAAAAACTTCACTGATTAAGATCCTGCTTTAAAAGCAAAATATTTACTTGCAGATTTCCACTGCGCATGAGTCAAAAGTCAGACAGCGTCAGCAAACATTTTCTCTAAGAATTTGCAAAGCAAACATTGGACACAATTTAGTATGTGTTATCATAAGCTTTATAATCAGCCACATACAGAGGTTCAATGACAAGCTGAACCTGTAACAAGAGAGCAGATACCAACAAGAGAACAGACACTTCTTTAGTTGTTTCTACAAAGTGGAACAACACATTGTTATGTAATTAAATACAGCTTGTGAGATTAAGCTAATTTGAGGTCCACACCCTTTGTTTATTGAGTCATATGTCTCATGGTGCTTTTCAGCCACTGAGTTTTAAGATGTTTTCCATGAACTGAAGCAAAGTTGCCTCGAAAACCATTCCCATGAGAGGCTCAGCCAAGCTAAAGCACGTGCTGACTCTAGCCTTCGGTTTGGGAGTTTGTTTTGGTTGTTTTTGTTGTTGCTGTTTCAGCTTCCAACTTAAGCCTAGTTCTTAGAAATTTCTCACTCTACACTAATAAATCTTGACACTTCTACTCATCTCTGGAAATAGTTGGTTCCTGGTAGTTGAAGTGACACTTTGGGATGGCTTGCTTTAAGCTCTTCTTTTGGTTCTACCCTGCCAAGCACCCACTGACATTCGCTGAACTTGCAAATGTCAAACAGTGTGCAACTGTGACCACGTGTCACCGGCCACAGAAAAACCACAAAGAAACAGAAGAGTAAATTGAGGCTTAAAAAGTCAGCAAATATTAATGTACCAATTTTATCCTACTCAGAAAATGACTACAGTTCAGTTCAGTTCAGTTGCTCAGTTGTGTCTGACTCTTTGTGACCCCATGGACTGCAGCACGCCAGGCCTCCCTGTCCATCACCAACTCCCAGAGTTTACTCAAACTCATGTCCATTGAGTCAGTGATGCCATCCAACCATCTCATCCTCTGTCATCCCATTCTCCTCCTGCCTTCTATCTTTCCCAGCATAGAGTTATTCATTCCCAGATGTTGGACCAGTGTTAGTGAAAGTCAGTTTTCACTAGCATAGCAAAATTAATAAGAGCAATGTAGTAAAAAGACATCATTAAGCTAAGGCTAAATTATTCATCTTTTTTGTTATTCTGAGATTACGTTATTCCTATTTTCATGAATTTAGATGCCCTTTTATTAAACAATAATATTTGAGCTGGTCAATTTTGATAATGTTTAATGTGTTTATTCAACAAAAAAGTCAGCAAGTCTATGGCCACCTCCAATAATCTTCTGAAATGATGTGCTTAGCCATTCAGTCATGTTCGACTTTTTGCAACCCCATGGACTGCAGCCCGCCAAGCTCCTCTGTCCACGGGGATTCTCCATGCAACAATACCAGAGTGGGTTGCCATGCCCTCCTCCAGGGGAATTTCCCAACCCAAGGATCAAACCCAGGCCTCTCACGTTGTGGGTGGATTCTTTATCATCTGAGCCACCGGAAAGTCCAGGAATACTGGAATGGGTAGCCTATCCCTTCTCCAGAGGAACTTCCCAACCCAGAAATCAAACCAGGGTCTCCCGCATTGCAGGCAGATTCTTTACCAGGGAATTCCTCTGAAATGATACTGGTCCCATATCCAAAGCCTGCAATGTACAGGTGATACAGGGTAAAACACCAGGAGATGCCCCGTCATCAGTGTGAGTTATGTAAAGCCCAAACACCAGGCAACCCTGCTGTGAAACCTACACTCTGGGAGTCACTGACTCTCAGATCATCCCCTTCCCATATATACCAGAACGTTAGCAAAACAAATAGAAAGAAAGAAATGGAAGTCTGACCGTGTTCTGGCAAAAATGTAATGGCTTTTCAGTTCTGTTAAGGCTTTTAAAACTGAAACACACCAAGGAGTTAACATATACAATAAATATTTATAAATATCATAAATCCTAGGTGGTCCTAGTAGTAACGAACCTGCCTGCCAAAGCAGGTAGACATAAGAGATGTGGGTTTGCTCCCTGGTCACCCCCTGGGTCAGGAAGATCTCCTGGAAGAGAGCATGGCAACCCATTCCAGTATCCTTGCCTGGAGAATCCCATGGACAGAGGAGTGAAAAGTCAGACATGACTGAAGTGACCTGGCATGCTTGCATGCACCACCTATATAAGCCAAGTAGCCTACAAAGTGTTGGAAACATATGCATGAATACCAACTTTATCTTCAAAGTTCTCACAGCCTAATAGATAACATATTTAGTAGAAATATCTACTTTATACACTTTACATAGCCTCTAAAACATAACCTCATTGATATTCAAAACAGCCTTATGAAGCAAGTATTAGTCCCATTTTTCAGATGAAGAAAATCTCAAATAAATGACAATATGATCTCCAAGCAAATGGTGATAAAATAGGAATTCATACACAGTAGTTCTGGTGAACTTCCCAGTGTGTACGTGTGGTGGGAAAAGAGACAGTGAGGAAGTACTTGGATTATATGCTTAATATAATTCAAGAAATCAGATACTACAATCCAGAAACCAGATACTGTATTAGTACAAATCTATTGATTTACTCCTTGGAAGGAAAGTTATGACCAACCTAGATAGCATATTAAAAAGCAGAGACATTACATTGCCAACAAAGGTCCATCTAGTCAAGGCTATGATTTTTCCAGTGGTCATGTATGGATGTGAGAGTTGGACTGTGAAGAAAGCTGAGCACCGAAAAATTGATGCTTTTCAACTGTGGTGCTGGAGAAGACTCTTGAGAGTCCCTTGGATTGCAAGGAGATCCAACCAGTCCATCCTAAAGGAGATCAATTCTGGGTGTTCACTGGAAGGACTGATGCTGAAGCTGTAACTCCAATACTTTGGCCACCTCATGCAAAGAGCTGACTCATTGGAAAACACCCTGATGCTGGGAGGGACTGGGGGCAGGAGGAGAAGGGGATGACAGAGGATGAGATGGCTGGATGGTGTCACCGACTCAATGGACATGAGTTTGAGTAAACTCCAGGAGTTGGTGATGGACAGGGGAGGCCTGGCGTGCTGCGATTCATGGGGTCACAAAGAGTCAGACACCACTGAGTGACTGAACTGAACTGATTGGCTTACACTGCTATTGATAAACTCATGGGTGAACAAAATCACACAAATCCTCTGCTGCTAGTAAAGTTCTAATTAATTATAAGTGCTTGATACTCTTCTGGATCTCAGCTCTCAGCCTCTAGCCATGTTCTCATTTTAAATATATAGAAGCTATTACTGTGAGAAATGCTACTATTCTGACTCCCTCTGCCCCTCTCCCCACCAAAAAATGATCTCAGCACATCCCTGGGGATGGTGCCCAGGTAAGGGAGCTTACTACAGTAGTGTCCAACAGGGGTCTTAGAAGTTGTAGTAAAACAGAAAAGCATTGTTATTCTTGAGAAACAGTGTCAGAAGAAGAAAAAGCAGTTGCAAACCATAAATCATATTTCCTTATTCTTCTATCAAACTACCTAAATGTCAACACTGTAGTGCTTAAAAAATGGTAAGAAATACCATTAAAGAGAGTGTTGTTCAGTTTGATTTCATTTCAGAATCATATTCCTATTTGTATGGCGGAAACCAACCTGATATTGTAAAGCAATTATCCTCCAAATAAGTAAATAAACAAAAAAAAAGAACCAATCAATTTTCTATAATAGAGCCATGAGCAACCTAAGAGACTTCAGCAGTGTTGAAATGATGGCTTCTCTGAGTGAAATGAATGGGCTTTGATCTTTCCCCCTTGTTCTAAGGCCAGCACGAGTGGCATCAGCCTCAAGATCCCTGAATCCATACGTAGTATTTTTTGTTGTCGTCGCAGTGGTGGCGATCCTGGCAGTGATCATAGGTCTACTTGTCTACTTTTTAGCTTTTGGTAAGTACCGAAAGATTGGAAATACCACTTCTCAGATGAATTCACTAAATATACTTTCAGATTCAAAGTTTGGCCTTCTCTCTTTTATTGCCACTTTTATTTTTTAATACAACATAATTATACATTTTAATTATATACCTCTAAATATATTTCCATGTTTATATTTTCTATAATTCAGTATTTTTTCCTCTTCTAGTTTTATTTATTTATTTACTTATTTTGGCCTTTTTTAGTATACCAAACAACATTATTACCCAGGCAAGGATTATTCTAGCCGACGAAAAAGACAATATTTATCTGATGCTAGAGTTCACTTGTTATGTTTTTCATTAATCCTATAATTTCCTTCTTTATTTAAAATATTGCAAAGGACCTTAAGTTTCAAAATCTAAAAGTTGGACGTACCTAAATATTCATTAATTCATGATCTGTGTCCTGAAAACAACCTTAGGAGCAGGACAGTTATGATAGGAGATGAATTTGCAGTTAAGAAGTAGAAAAAGGTTAAAAACAAACTTTAAAAATGATTCTGTTCTTCTTGTTTCTCTTATTTTCTTTAATTTTTTATTAAAAATATGAAACAGAAACAATATTAAGAATGCATATACACTGTTCATTAACACAAAATTATATCCCAGTGAATATTCTTTCAGAGGTTTTAATGTAGATAAAATGTGTCAAATTTCACTAGATAATATATGCTATAATCTGTTTTTTTTAACTTCAGCTATAATCTCATTGCATTATTTAAATCATAGGGGCTGGGATAGGGGGAGAATGAAGGCATATGGGTATGTGTAAGGGTAGAGACTAAGTGAGAATAAATTTATTCCAGTAACTAGTAATAGTCTTTTCAGTCAATTGAATTATAAAATTGTAGCTAAATTTTACTTTGGACTGTATTTTGCTATCAAATCACCTAGAGACTACTATGTGCAAGGTGAATTACAGAAGTAGGAAAAACTAACATCAAATTTCAGTTTAAATCAATTTTCCCTCCTAACAACACTGTACTGTCACACTTAAACACAAAGACAGGAGCCTAATTTCTCAAATAATGCTGATCTGATTTTCATGCATTTTTAATGTTTCAGCTTTGCCAATCTTTTTAAAGACTGAAAGAGAAAATAATTTTATTATAGTTACATTTTTACTAAGTTTAGAATTTTTTCCTTTTAAAGGAATTAAATTTTTTTAAATTATATAACAGCCTAAATAATCCTATATGAAATAAAAATTAAAGTACTTAGTAATGTGAGACTGATTCTGCCTTTTCCTTGTTTTACAGATCAAAAATCTTCCTTTTACCAAAGCAGCATTCAAATCCTGGGTATTCAATATAGTGATGAGTTTAGTTCACCAGCTACAGAGAAATATAGGACTTTGAGTGGAAATATTGAATCTATGGTAAGTTAATTTTTGCCTTTGTTCTTTATCATAAAACAAATATGATAATAAACCTAATGTTTTGTGATATATTTACAACTGCTAAATGCATATTTTCCTTCCCTGAATGATGAAGGATGTGTTTCATCATACTTCTTTCAAGTCAATTTGCTTGTACATTCGTTCTTATTCACATTTTCTTACATCATGAGTGAAGAGCTTTAGGTCATGAGTAACTATATTTTTTATGATTATGGTTTCAAAAATCGGAAGTCTATTGTTTGTGCAATTTGAGCATTTCTCTATCCTTGAGTTTGTTTTTTTAAATCATTTTCATTTTTCCTTCTTTCCTTTTTTCTTATGCAACTAAACACACAGGTAGTAAGTGTTAAAATACATGTTAACATAGTTTGGACAAATAATACTTTGCTTCAAAGATCAACATAGAAAATAAACAAAGCAAGTCTGGTTTCTCAAATGAAGAGGCCCCGAGGCTGCCTGCCAAGAAATCTCACAAGCAGACCCTTAGTTTATCATCACAGACCAGGGTTTGACCTTCAGCCCTACAGAGTCAGAGCTGACCAATCTCAGCTCACTTACCTTACCTTTTCTGAAATTCTTAAGAATATAAATTAATCCAATGGTTCTAAAACTTCGGCATGTAACAAAATCACCTGGAAGGCTTATTAAAAAACAGATCTCTGGGCCCAAATGTCAGAATTTCTGATTCTGTAGTTAGAACTTGCATTTCAGTAAGTTCCCAGGTGATGCTGATGCTACTTGTCCAGGGACCTCACTTTGGAATCACTGAGTTAAGCTATAACAAGGCCTATGATGTACGGGGGATTGAGTCATCTGCTTGTCTGACAACCTTTACCCCTAGAGACAAATTACACTGGGAGCCAAGTTATGAGAAAAGTGCTTCGTGAGCACAAAATTAGAGCAAGGGAAGTTAGATATATTGTTTAAGTGTTTGACGAGATCAGAATAAACAACTGAACCAGAACAATTTGGAAACAGAATCTAGGCCAGGAGGCAGAGGTAGGGCTAATAATGGGGAACATCAACTGGTTATGTCAAAAGTAGAAGCCTCCTAGTCCTTCAATAAATGATTATTAAACATTAATCCTGCCAAATGCAGTGGACATTACAGAAACTGGAGTAGATATTAGATACTGGATGTAAGTTTGTGCTAAGAGGATAAATTCTGTCCAATCATGGAGATGAGAGATGGTTTCTTATAAAAGATGATTTTCAGGCTGACTTTTAGAATGAATAAGGCATATCACAGCTAAAACATGAGCCAAGACACAGAGAAGAAAATGTCCTTAGCTAATAACAAATTTGGGTTTTATTTTTTAGACAAAAAGTCTTGAGCTACAGGCAGAATGATGAAAACAGGATCTGACAGATTCACGTTCAGAATGTAAAAATTAGATTATAAAGAGAAGAGACCGCACACAGTAAGACTAGTTAGAAGCTCATTACCCTGGTCCAGAAGAAAACCAAGGGGTTGAAAGCTTGAATTACGGCATATTCCAGAAAAGGTAGAAATGCATTTTAGGCTTACCTCCCCAGCTTCCTACTATCTCTTCCCAAACTGTTGTTAAAAAATCATTAACAATATTTAGTCATATCATTTGCGTCATGAGAGCCCATCGTTTAGGCTTCAAACCAATGGCTGTTCTTAAATTTCTTGAAGAAGCTGCTAGAGATAAACATCTCAGGAGGCCAGTCTGAGGACCGTTATTCATATTGAAGCCCTCATACCCACACAAAGACATCTTGTAATGTTTCAGCTGTGTGCCTAGTTTAATAAAAGTGAGTAAACTGAAAGTGTATATTTTGAGAATTCCAGCTTCATTCTAGGGAATTAGAACCCGGCTACCAGTCATTAGAGCAAGATGTCAGAGATGTCCTCAGCCCTAAAGAGGTCATTCAGTTTATGTGAGAGAGAATAGATATGTTAGGTGAGTTCATCCTTCATAGAGCACATGTAAAATTGCAAAACACTAATTTGGAGAGAAATGGTGTAAGGCATAAAGCACAACATATAGCACATTCAGCAATGTGAAAACATAAACTAAATAAGTTTCTTTGAAAAGTACTACCAGCACCTTTGGAAGATATTCAGTAAGTCTTTAAAATACAATCTCCAACACCAAAAAAATTGTACAATCGAACTTTTTATTTTTAATTTATTCTCAAAAATGGTCTATAAAGCAAATCATAATGTATGTATAAATTTTGTTATCAAAATAAATAATTTTAGTAATGTCTTTTGTGGTAAAGATAAAACAAATGTAGAAAATTCAGTGTATTCAAGAAATATAAGAAAATCAGAAACATGCACAAAATCTTAATACTCATATATCCACGATTAATATTTTGATGTTCCAAGTATCTTTCATGTAAACTTCACAATCAAACATGCATAAACACATACAATTTTCTGTCAATGAAATAAGACTATACACGCCTGCTTTTTCCTATTTTTTCTCAAAAATGTGTCACAGAAGTATTTAAATATCAATGAAGAAATCTACCATTTTAAATAACTAAACAGTATTATAGTGCAAAAAGATACAATAGTTCATTTAACCACTCTTCTGTTGACAGATGTTTACACTGTTTCCAGTTTTTCACTATTATAATCAATATTCTGATGACCATGCTTGTTGATACATACTTGTACACCTGAAAGATTATATTATTGGGACATATTCCCAGAACTAGAATTATCAGAATATAGGTTTATGCATTTATTTCTCTCGAAAGATTTTCAAATTTTTTCTTCAGTTTTAACAAGTATTTTGGAGAAGGGAATGGCAAACCACTTCAGTATTCTTGCCTTGAGAACCCCATGAACAGTATGAAAAGGCAAAATGAGAGGATACTGAAAGAGGAACTCCCCAGGTCAGTAGGTGCCCAATATGCTACTGGAGTTCAGTGGAGAAATAACTCCAGAAAGAATGAAGG